CAACAAAGTCTAAACTAAACTCTGTCAGAACCACGATGATTTGACCTACTCCAGTACTTCTGGAAAGGAGAATTGTGGGTTAAATATGGCTACACATTCTCTGCAGTTCCTCTTTCTCTGCCCTGAATATGGAGTGTCCCTTTCACTTGCATACACTAGTAGAAGGTGGCAGAAGGGACACTGTGTGACTTTGGATACTTGGCCTTTTTCTGCTCTTGCCCTCTTGGAACACTACTATGTGAGACACCTGGACTATCCTGCTGGAAAAGCTACATGGAAGGGAGCAACTGACGGCCCCAGCTAATGAGTGAGGTCATCTGGATTGCCTTACCACAATGTAGCAACCACAAGAGCAACCCCAGATTAGAAAAACAACCCAGTTGAGGACAACTTAAATTAATGAAATTTTAAGTCACTGGGTTTTTACTTTGTCTTATATTACATACATGTTTGTGTGTGTGTGTGTGTGTGTGTGTGTGTATGTGTGTGTGTGTATACACATAATTTTACGTTGTATATAAACCCAATTTTTAAAAAGAATGCAATAAGAAAACAAACTCTAATACAAAACCTCAGCTTTTAAAAAATAGGTAACAAATGTGAACAGACACCTCACAGAAGAATGGCAATTAAGCACATGAAAAAAATGTTCAACATCATTAGCCATGGTAGAAATGCAAACTGAGGGGCAGCTGGGTAGCTCAGTCCATTGAGCATCAGACTCTTGATTTTGGCTGAGGTCATGATCTCATAGGTCGTAAGTTCGGCCTGCATCAGGCTTTGCACTGACAGCACAGAGCGTGCTTGCGATTCTTCCTCTTTCCCCTTCTCTCTGCCCCTCCCCCACTAGTGCTCTGTATCTCTCTCAAAATAAATAAACATTAAAGAAAAAAAAAAAAGAAATGCAAGTTGAAGCTACAGTGAGATAATACTACATTTCTGTTAAAACAGATAAAATAAAAATAACTAACAATAGCAAGTGCTAAAAGTGAGAGTAACTGGAACTCCCAAGCATTGTTGGTAGGAATGCAAAACGATGCAGATAAACTGGAAAACATTTGGGCAACTTCTTAAAAAATTAAAAATGCACTCAAATGACCCAGCCACCCCACTCCTAGATATTTACCCGAGAGAAATAAAAACTTATGTTCCTGCAAAGAGCTATAGAGCAAATGTTATAACAGCTTTGTTCATAATTGTCCAAAAACAAAAACAACCCTAACATCCTTTAACTGGTCAATACATCAAAAAAAAAAAAAAAAAAAAAAAAAAAGACAACAATACTGTGATACATCAATACTGTCAAATACTACTTAGTATTAAAAAGGAATTAAGGGGCACGTGGGTGGCTCAGTCGGTTGAGCGTCTGACTTTGGCTCAGGTCATGATCTCACAACTCTGTGAGTTCGAGCCCCACACCGGGCTCTGTGCTGATGGCTCAGAGCCTGGAGGCTGCTTCAGATTCTGTGTCTCCCTCTTTCTCTGCCCCTAACCCACTCGCATTCTGTCTCTGTCTCTCTCAAAAATAAATAAACATTAGAAAAAAAAACTTTTTTTAAATAAAAAAATAAAAAGGAATTAAAATAATACTCAGGAAAAAGAAAAAAAACTACCAATACACACAATAACATTAATGAATTCCAAGTACATTATACTAAATGAAAAAAAAAAAAGATACAGGGGCGCCTGGGTGGCTCAGTCGGTTAAGCATCCGACTTCGGCTCTGGTCATGATCTCACAGTCCGTGAGTTCGAGCCCTGCGTCGGGCTCTATGCTGACAGCTCGGAGCCTGGAGGCTGCTTCAGATTCTGTGTCTCCCTCTCTCTCTGACCCTCCCCTGTTCATGCTCTGTGTCTCTCTGTCTCAAAAATAAATAAACATTTTTTAAAATTTTTTTAAAAAAAGATACAAAAGGAGACAAACCACATTATTCTACTTAGGAACAGAATAAAATGCAGGAGAAAACAGATCAGTGGGTATTAGGGACAGAAGGTAAGGCTAGAATTTGACCACAAATGGGCACAACAGAATTCTGGTGGGAGGTAGAATTCTTCTATAATTTAATTGTGGTGGTAGTTACACGACTGTAAGTATTTGCCATAACTCATACACCTATGTGCTAAAAAAAAAAAAAAAAAAAAAAAAATTATAATGTATAAAAATTATTCATCAATAAGTCAGAATTAGACACACACACACACACACCCCAACCTCCCAAACTTTGTGCATAAACATTTGTACCCCTCAGAATAATGATTTTTAAATTATTTTCCTAAATATGTAGTACAATCAACAAAATTATCAAATTCTAGCTGAAGAACTGGTTAGATGGTTTTAAAACTAGTGTCCTAAATCTTAAAAATTGTAATTTCAAGCTTCTGAGTTGCTTTCCAAACCCAATCCATATGCCTCATCTGAAAGAAATGACCTAGTTTTACAGACATATGAATTACTCCTTTTTGGTCTAGCTTATGAACACATTTTTTTTTTTAATAAGAAAAGACATAGCAAATTGGGTACAAAATGTTACAATGAGAGAGGGAAAAAACACCAACACCAGTAGCACATCTACTGTTCTTCCTTTTATGCCAGGGTTTCTAAAATGGAATCCCTCTGGCTAAAACACAAATGTCCCCTTGATGGAAAGACCTGAGGAGGTTTTTGTTCCTATTGAGGGAAAATAATTACTTATTTATTTTCCTAAAATTACAGCTCTCTCTATAAAAACTAACTCAAACCGTGTTTTCAGGTTATATTTACAATATTAAAGCATGACGTACTGTCTCAGCTCTTAGTTGTCTCTACATTTGAACACAGTAGTTGAGAATTTAATTTCAACACAAATGAATATAAATAAAGTGGCTTACAAAACCCAAAGATCACTCCACAGAAGAAACAACTATTATTAGAGGCAAGCTTTCTTTCATGCAATACAAACAAAATACTTGGCAGTCAGAAATAAACCAGCTGAAGTATCAGTATTGAAGTTGGAATGAGGAGAAAAATAATCAATTATTTACGAGCCTAAATTGTTAAGAAGCAAAATCTTTTCCAAGGAGCAATGATTCCCAGGATGTAGAATAAGATTTTACTACAATCAAAGCATATCCCAAAATCAATTAGCCCAGCATCTACTCTTGGCGATCTCCTACATGAGATTTTAGTTGAGATTTCTGAATCAGTGACTTCTCTCTGGTTTCTATTCACAGAGGCAAAACATTTCATCAGAGTCCAGGCTTTCAGGTCATACTGCTAGGAAGCAAAGTAAGCTCCACCACTTGTGGAAAGTATAACTTTGGGAAAAATTAAATTACTTAATATCCCTTTCATACCTCATCTGTAAAATGGTTATAAAAATAGTACCGGCATCTCATAAAGAAATTTATGAAATTTAATGAGATAATCCAAGCAAAGCCCTTGGCACAGTACCTGGCACATGATAAACTTGATAAATGACAGCTATTATTATTAACCTCTAAATTATCAACTTTTGATTCTCATAACAAATGACAGAGTAAGACTCTATTGAGAGATCACCTCTCCATGATACTCCCAGGCTCCCGCCCAAAAAGAAATAAAAGGATATATAAATGCAAGAAGTTCTCTGTCCACTTTCTAATCCCTAATTACTTTGTATTTTACCGCATGGTACTACTTCTACAAATGACAGGAGTAATTTTTCATTCATTGTATAAAATTCTTAAAACCTAGCATTTTCTTCCATAGAACATAAAAGGACCAAAAATAATATTATGGTGAAGAAAAAAGTTGAGAGAAAGAAGTGAGTTCCAAAGAAAGAGTGCACGGGCAGTGGCAGTGGGGAGGTAAGGGAATCGGAGAACCATAGAAGTCTTCCCTCAAGCTCCAAAAGCATGTGACTCTGTCAACTACATTCTTTTTTCACAGACTGCTACTCAGCTTCCACACCCTAGCATTCTCCCTCTCTCCTTCCCCATCTGCTCTGAAGGCTCTATGCACAGTAGGATGCTTTCACCTTCTACTCCTCAATGTATCTTTCTCAAAAGGGAATGAATTCTGTCCTCTTTTTCTCTACACTACCTCTCTTAGGGTCAATTACCAACTCTAGAGTAATGACTCTTCATCTCAAATCTTCAAATTCTAGCCTGAGAGACAGCAGGCACTAAACACATAATCACCTTCATATATAAAGAAGAGAAACTAGAATTTAGGAATTATTTGTTCCCTGAAAATACAAGATTTTGTATTTCCTAACAGGTGATGCCTTCCAACATACATGGCACATTTTTTAATAGACTAGAAGCAGCAACAATAACAATTCCCTAGGTTCCAGATCCAGTTGTTTTATTTAATGATGAATTTTTGTTTCTTCATTTTTTTTTTTAATTTTTTTTTTCAACGTTTATTTATTTTTGGGACAGAGAGAGACAGAGCATGAACGGGCAAGGGGCAGAGAGAGAGGGAGACACAGAATCGGAAACAGGCTCCAGGCTCCAAGCCATCAGCCCAGAGCCTGACGCGGGGCTCGAACTCATGGACCGCGAGATCGTGACCTGGCTGAAGTCGGACGCTTAACCGACTGCGCCACCCAGGCGCCCCTGTTTCTTCATTTTAATAAGTTATATTTAGACTGACTCAGCCTCCCAATTATTATAAATGTCATTGTTATAGTCCATATAATAAAAATTTTAATATGTGCTAATTTAAATCATACAAAGTTTGTATTTAATGTATCAAAATTATTCAAAATGCTGAAGACAACTATAAATGAAGTATAAAAACATAAATTAAATGGCATGGTTATTCTATATTAAAATCTATGTGCAAAATAAGTTTTGACACTATGGAGAAATTCTCTATTCATATAGAATTGGTATAAAAAGTATCTCACTAAAATATTTAAATTTTTACAAAAACAGTTTAAAAAAATCATTAAGTATTTTTTAATCGATGAATGAAGCCCTGAAACTAAAAAACAAAGTACAATACTTCATCATTCTTCCTTCATTTTCAGAACCTACCGGAGAGATTCAGCCATTCGCCTCAAATCTTCATTTTGCTGTTTTAAGCGTTCAAGCTTTGCCAGAATCTTGGACAGTTCTCGGCTAGAGTGATCAGGGTGGTCATTATCTCGTACCAAGTGACCACCTATATAAAACAGCAAGGTCCCCCAGGCAAAAAGAATGAGCATAATCCAACGCCAGGAACCAGTCCATGGCCGCATTTTCAGATTTTCAACTCACTCCCCTGGCTTCCCGGAGCTCAAAGAATTGGAAACATCTTAAGTCTGTTTGTAGCTAGTGCGTAAGCAGTAGCCTTTTGTTGTTTCAACACATCATGCTTCAGAGAATTTGTGTCTCTGGTAGTCCTGTAGCGAATCTTTCAAGGAGATCCTCCTGGTGGTATGAGTAAGAAGCTTTACTGTCTTGTGCTTCATGGACTCTACATGCTGTGGAAAGAGTAAGAAACGTATTTAAATTATTTAGGATATGGAAAATAGCATATGCTGAGATTCATGGAGTTGGAGGAAACACTCTGGTGTTGACTGGCAGATAACCTAACTGCCTAATAATAAGTAAAAGGCAAAAGCTTTCATATCTGCCTATTAAATCAACTATGTATATATACTAGGGCTCTACCAGATTAATTAATTAGCTCTAAGCTTCAAAGTCCTCTAAGTGCCATCATCACTTTTCCTTCATACACCATTGTCAATAGATCATATATGGAGATCAAAAAACTGTATCTTTGAATAAGCAATCAAAACCAAACAAAATGTATTCAACTACATATTTTGGTCTAATGTTTCCATTAACTCAAACAGAAACATGTTCTCTGTATGAGTGAATTCATTCCTGTAAGATCTTGACTCCATCCCCCTCCATCTCACTACTCAACTGCCTTTATACTACTTAACCCTGCAGGTGACAGGCAGAGTGTCACTGATAAATTCTAAAAGTGATGTGTATGTTAGCTAATAAGCAAAGGTTATCACAGCCATTAAGCAGCAGGTAACCACTCCATATATCACAAGCAAAGGCTCATAAAGATTAGGCTAGATTATCCGTTCCTCAATTTATTAAAAAATACCAATAATTGCAACATAAGCCTATACCAATTATATCTTAGTCACTGTTGCATCTTAATTATAAGTGCACATACTTTCTCAGGCGTGGCTGTGGGTTTCATTTGTCACTTTATCATCTGGCTTAGAATCCCCTTTAGAAACAAAACAGTTTTTTCCCCAAGAAAAAAATTATAGGCAGATCAAAGATCAGTCATATGATGTCTACTTTTCATGCTATATAGAAAAATACAGGTATTCAGAGTTTCCTAGTTAAAAAGCAAATTAAAAAATGAATCCACTGATGGTTTAAGGTATGGATTTAATTCAGTAAGTCAACAAAAGAAGCTATTAAATCTGAGTTAATAATATTGTGGGTGACAATATATGCAACATTGTAAATTGTTGTTATACCATATGCTGAATCCATAATATAGTCTAGTTAATTCCAAACTATACCAATAAGATATTAATTTTTTTAATCTTTCCCTTCATAGCAAAAGTTAACTTAGAAACATAACTGTGATAAACAAAAGATAGCTTTCTAAAGACATCATTTAAATAACAATAAAAAGATGTGCTGTAACATTTTATTAAAATTACAATTAAAAATTATAATTTTTCAAAGCCAGCAAAACTATAATAACTCAAATAGAAACAGAAGTCTACAGAAACATAAATCTTGTTACATAAAATACCTTAAATTCTTATAAACCATCATCAAAAATAACCAAAATATTAAGTTACCACATTTCACAACGTAGTAATATTGACATCACAGAAGTTGTAAAAACTCATTAAAAATTGTTTTAGGAGATGGGGCACCTGGGTGGCTCAGTTGGTTAAGCATCCGACTTCAGATCAGGTCATGATCTCACAGTTCGTGGGTTCGAGCCCCATGTTAGGCTCCATGCTGACATCTCAGAGCCTGGAGCCTTCTTCAGATTCTGTGTGTCTCTCTCTGCCCCTCCCCTACTCATGCTCTGTCTCTCTCTCTCAAAAATAAATAAAAGCATTTTTAAAAAAATTGTTGTAGGAGCAAAACATGGTCATTTTCTTAATAGCATCATTTGCACTTTTCTTTTAAGTTTATTTATTTATTTTGAGAGAGCGCACAAGCATGTAAGCGTGAGTGGGGGAGAGGCAGAGAGAGAGGGAGAGAGAATCCCAAGCAGGCTCCATTATGTCAACCCAGAGCCTGATGCAGGGCTCAATCTCAGGAACCATAAGATCATGATCTGAGCCAAAATCAAAAGCTGGATGCTTAACTGACACAGCCATCCAGGCACCCCTGCATTCTGTTTTTGGAAGAGAATTCTTCCCAATTTTATTGTTCTTGGCTAGTATTTAAACATGAAATCAGAAAAAACAAGCCAAGCTGAACATCAAGTAGTTTTCTATGTAATTTTCCTTAGCATGGTTTAAAAGTTGGTATAGAATTTTTTACCCTATCCATAATGAATGCCTGCTTCCTTACTGTGTTTACTGCCTATTGTTTAAACTATGAACTATGTCTGTTAAAATGTAAACTCCATGATATTTCTCCATTTTGTTCACTGATGTATCCTAAGTACTTAGAGCAGTATTTGACCCTTAGTAAGTACTAATAAAATTTTTGAGTAAATAAGTGAATGAGTGAAGGATATCATACATGACATATGGTAGTATGATATATTACACAATTCATGCACATTAGCCTCAAGTGTCATTTTATACTCCACTTAAGAAAGCGAATCTGAATGTAGAAAGTAAGACAGTGCTATTATGAGGAAAACAGTTCAAAAATAAAAGACATCCATAAGCTTTAGGATTTATTATTATCAACACATGTCTCACAAGACACCCTCAAATATTTAAAATATATTGGTCTACGGGGCACCTGGGTGGCTCAGTCAAGCGTCCAACTTCGGCTCAGGTCATGATCTTGCGGTCTGTGAGCTCGAGCCCTGCGTTGGGCTCTGTGCTGACAGCTCAGAGCCTGGAGCCTGCGTTGGATTCTGTGTCTCCCTCTCTCTCTGCCCCTCCCCTGCTTACACGTGTATCTGTCTCTCTTTCTCTCAAAAGTAAATAAATATTTAAAAAATTACAATATATTGGTCTAAAAGGCCATAACATCAACTTATGGTTACCTTTCAAACATGAGAAAATGATTTTCTCAAAATTAGTGAAAATATTTCAAATTTATTAGTAAGAAAGATTTCAACATTAACTACATGAGCTAATTTCTGACTAAAATTTGTATAGTAGTGTTTGTTAAGATTTCTTCTAGGAGTGGGTTAAGTATTTATTAATTCATTCTTATTTGAGATTCACATACCACCTTTCATCTGCAGAATATATATATATATATATTTTTTTTCAGGATATTAAGTGGATTGAAATGTGTCAGGCTTCCTTACACAAATTTATTTAATTAGTGAATACCACTTTTTTTTTTAAGGTAATGCGTATTTAAATGATTTTTTTTTTGTATTTACAGAGATTCTTTGGGTTACATTTGCTTAATGTCTCTGAAACAAAAAAATATATATGTAATTTTTCAAAGTAATTTCTTGAATCTGAAAGCTAAAGTATATAATCAGTAAAACTGAGAGCTTTAATAAAGTTGCTCTGAGGCTTAGATGGCGTTAATATATAATGCACTTACTATAATGCTGGGCCCATAAGAGGTGCTCAATAAAAGGTAATACTATTTTAATGCTGATACGATATGGAGATTAAAAATATGGGTACTAGAATAGGCAAAGCCTAGACTAGAGTGTTGTTCTGCTATATCACAGCTAGGTAACCTTACTGACGTTCAATTTCTTTTTCTGTAAAATGGATATAATACATACTACCTCTCCCAGAGAATACTAAAAGAGGCATAGTGAATTTTTCTTATGCTACATATGTTAATGCTGTTACATTATTTTAGACTCATTTATAATATTTGTATAATTTATATACCATATATTATCATACGCAGTTTCTAAAATAGCTGCCAATGATCCCGGTGTCCTGTACTCATGCCCTGTGTAATCTCCACCTCCTGAATGTGGGCTGGACCTAGTGACTTGCTTCTTAGAATACAGCAAAGTGATATGATTTCACTTCTGAGATAAGTTTACAAAACACTGATATTTCTTTTTTGCTCACATTCTCTCTTCTTGTTTACTTTGATGCTGCCATTTGAAAAGGCCCATGTGGAATGGAACTGAATCTGCCAACAACCACATGAGTAAGCCTGGAAATGGATCCTGCACCTGTCAAACTTTGATGTGACTACAGCTTGGTTCACATTTTGATTTCAGGCTTTTGAAAGACCATAAGCCAGATGATCTAGCTAAGCCATGCCCAGATTCTTGGCCAGCAGATAATAACTGTTTTAAACCACTCAGTCTTATGGCAATTTGTTATGTAACAATAGATAATTAATATACATGCCAACTTCCTACTGGGGCTGAATGCCTGGTCTTCAGTTCATGTGTTATTCTTTCTGTTCACAGCAAGTTGTACAAAGTCTAAGGCACAGAGTAGGCATTCCAGATACCAGACACAATTGAATCTTAATCACATCTTCTTATATATCCTGCTAACACATCTTACAAATACCATAAAAGTTAAACTCAATTTACAGCTTAATTTTATACCATACTAAAAGTGTAAAGGCCATTTTTCTTAATGTTTGCTAAACAGAGTTCCACTTCCAACCATGTCAGAATAACTAGTACTACATTTGCCCTCACACATAAACAACTAGAAAACCTAAATATTCAGAAAAACTGTTTTCAGAGATTGGGCAATGGTCAGGCAAGACTGTGATGCCTGAGATGAGATTAACAATCAAAGGTAAGCCCTATAATTACTCCAGCTTTCTGCCTAAAATTTACTGAACACCCCACAAAAAGGGAGAACCCAGGCAAAGCACAGCTATCTTCCTGAGGTGATAAGATAGAGACTACAGTTTAAAAGTTTAAGGGAAGAGGGTCTACAAGTCAGTATATCAAAGAGGAGGGAGTTGCCCAGAGAAAAGGATCCAAAAATCGGCATAAGTGATCCTTTAGTCTTTGGCTAGATACTAGGCTCTACATGCAGAAGTCTCACAAGGCTGGCAAAGAACAATTATCAAGGAAAGAAAAATTAAATACTAGGTAAATGAAAAATGAACATCTCTCAGAGATCGTATAAAGGGGAAAACCTAGGAGTCCCACCCACACAAAATGAAAATGCCACATAGAAAATCTAGGGCATTCAGCAGAAAGCCAAGAAATAAAACATGTTAGAAGTTAAAGTTAAGTAAGCCGTAGAGTAGGGATCAGAAAATTGTCTCTAAAGAACAAGATAATAAATATCACAAGCTATGTGCAACACATACAGTCTCTACCATATATTTTTGTTTTTAT